GACAGCCCTATATTTAACAAGGGATCCAAAATGCCAGTAGTGTCGAGACTGAGAGATCTTATCCTGAATGGAACACACTTTAGCCCTTTTAGAGGTCAATGTAAGCCAGGCAGACAGTTGAAGTGTGAGAGAGAGCATCTGTGTGGGCAGGAGTATCAGGAAGGCTGGACCCCAAAGAACAGGAGATGACTAGGACAGGCCCAAGCACAGCTTCTGCATTCATGGGGCAAGAACTCTTCCCCAAGACTCCTTGCCCTGAGTAAGGCTAGAATATACTAAGTGGGACTGAAGCATTGGTCTACTCTGTGACCCTCAGTGTCTGCTGGAAACAACATGGAGGACATCTGTGGAGACCTCCTGCTACAGCTGCACCAGCAGTATCCAGGTGACATTGGCTGTTTTGCCATCTACTTCCTGAACCTGCTTACCCTGAAGCCTGGAGAGGCCATGTTTCTGGAGGCCAATGTGCCTCATGCCTACGTGAAGGGAGGTAAGCCCCTTTTCAGCAGAATTGCCATCCCTGGTAGACCTTGTTTTCCCATCTGGACAAAAAGAGGATGAATATGGATACTTTCTCTAAGGTCCATCCAGCTCTAATTTCTGAGAGCTCCTGGGCAGAAAGGGAAAATGCCAGTAAGGTATGGTGAATGTCAGCTTAGCAGACACTGTTTATGATCTTCTGCCAACCTGGAAGGTAATAAGACTGATGTTAAGTCCTGTGAGTGMGTGTGGGAACTGAAGTTGGAACCCAGGCTATATTGGACAAGGCTGCTCTTCTCTCCCTCACATCATCCAGCTTTTACATGCCTATTCTGTCTACCATTTTTTACTGTACTGGGGATTGATCTCAGTGCTTTACCACTGAGCTACATTCCCAGCCCTTTTTGTTGTTTGAGACAGGGTTTTCTTAAATGGCTCATGCTGTCCTTGAACCTGCAGTTTTCCTGCCTGAGCCTCCCAAGTTACTGGGATTATAGGCATGCGCCACTGCACCTAGCCACCTGGATTTTTTTTTTTACATTAATATATGCATCAGGGGGGCTGGGATTGTGGCTCAGCGGTAGAGCGCGTGCCTAGCACAGGCAGGACCTGGGTTCAATCCTCAATACCACATAAAAATAAAGGCATTGTGTTGTGTCCATCTACACCTAAAAAAATATTTAAAAAAATATATATGTATCAGGGCTGGGTGCAGTGGTGTATGCCTGTAATCCCAGCAGCTCAGGAGGCTAAGGCAGGAGGAAGTTCAAAGCCAGCCTCAGCAACTTAGCGAAGCCCTAAGTGAGACCGTCTCTAAATAAAATACAAAAACGGGTGGGGGATGTGGCTCAGTGGTTAAGTGCCCCTGAGTTCAATCCCTGGTTACCCCCACCCTCCCCCTGCCCCCAAGAAAAAAGATATGTATCCCCTCAGAAGGTGATTTTGGTTTTTAATATATATTTTTAGTTGTAGATGGACACAATGTATTTATTTATTTACTTTTATGTGGTGCTGAGGATGGAACCCAGTGCCTCACACATGCGAGGCAAGCACTCTAACACTGAGGTATAGCTACAGCCCCTCACAGGTGATTTTTGACTGTTGGCAGCATCCACTCCTGCCTAGGAGTCTGTCACAGAAGTACGACTAGTCAGGAGTTTGGGGCTCCCCTAGGGGTTAATATGACTCCTCCTGACCTGTCACCTATTTTTGGAGTCTGGTATCTTAACTCCATTCTCCCAGAAAACAGTATTGTATTTACACATTTTTACCTAACTCTACAAGGGGTTCACAGACTTCAGGTTAGGAGGCCCAGCCTAGAGAGCCTTCTCCAAGGCATAATTCATCAGCTTAGCACATGACAATTGTCTGCCCCCAGACTGCGTGGAGTGTATGGCATGTTCGGACAACACAGTGCGTGCTGGCTTGACACCCAAGTTCATCGATGTGCCAACTCTATGTGAGATGCTCAGCTATACCCCTACCCCCAGCAAGGACAGGCTCTTCCTCCCAACACAGAGTCAGGAAGACCCATACCTCTTCATCTATGACCCCCCTGTGCCAGACTTCACCATTATGAAAATGGAGGTAAGTGGGAGAGGGGATGGTGAACTGGCAAGGACTACAATATGGAGTATACCTGGGGCTGGGTTTCCCTTCTGTCAAGCACACCTACTAGTGACAGTTACAGGGCCCATCCTCCATGCTGATAAAGAGCTTGAATATTAGGGGAGGTGGCAGCAGGGCTGTTCCTCACTGCCCTTGAAGTTGTCCTGAGTCTGGGACCTGATTGGTGCAGAGTCTAAGCTATATTATCCTGCTTCTTCTTGCCCAGGTCCCTGGCTCTGTCACTGAATACAAGGTCTTGGCACTGGACTCTGCCAGCATCCTCCTGATGGTGGAAGGAACGGTGACAGCCAGCACTCCCACAGCACAGGCTGCAATCTCCCTGCAGCGGGGTGGGGTGCTCTTCATTGGGGCCAATGAGAGTGTCTCACTGAAGCTTACTGTGCCTAAGGACTTGCTTATGTTTCGGGCCTGCTGTCTGCTGTAGAGACAACTGCCAGCCACTCTAGCTCCAGGCCACTCCAAGTCCTTTCCTTGTTTTCCACTCTGTGTGCACCCTAGAAGAGCTGGGGAAATAAACCTGTGGGTTGTGACTTCCGAGCATGCCCCAGGCCAAACCATCTTCTCTTGGGATGAGAGGCCCATTGGAGGGCTAAGGCCTGATCCTTCTCTTGTATTCTGTTACCACTCCTCACCACACCTGAGCCAGGCTCTTGCCAGTTCGGGAGGCAACAGCTGTACTCCAGCCCACCGTATGAGGCCGTCTAGTGAAATCTGTGACCTATCATTACTTCAGCATCCATCAGAGCAATTGGTAAGGTATATTTTAAGAACAAGGTTCTTGCCTTGGGGCTACCTACTTATTTCTTCAGCTGTAGAGGATTGGGAAAGGGTAGGCTCTCTTGCTCTGTCAAAGCAATTAAAGATCACTTGTTTTGACCCTGTAAAGAACATTTCCACCTTTGGCATTTCTGTCCCTGAAGTTGGCTGAAACAGCCCTCCCTGAATGTTGTCCAATTTTTGCTTTATTCCTACTTATAAAGTGGGCAGGCTGGATCCCAGAATCTTTTTATAGCAAGTAGTGGGAGAGAAGAAGCCACTTTCAGCCTTGGATGCACAGTTTGCAGGCATTCCTTGAGCTCTCCAGAAAGAGAAGATGAGTATAAGAATATACTAGTGCAACACTCCCTTTTTTTAGTACCAATGATTGAACCCAGGAACATTTAACCACTGAGTCACATCTCCAGTCCTTTGTTAAGTATTTTATTTAGAGAAGGAGTCTCACTAAGTTGCTGAAGTTGGCTTTGAATGGGCAGTCCTCCTGCCTCAGCCTCCCAAGCCACTGGGATTACAGATTTGTGCCACCTCAACCAGTGCAACACTCCTATTTTTCAATTTACCTTAAGAGTCTGCAAACTAGGGCTGGTAGACCAGTTCTGGTTATACCTACTAATTTACATACATTTTAGCTGTTTTCAGGCTGCAATGATGAAGTCATGTAGTTGCACCAGACTATGTGGTCTGCAAAGCTGAATTTATTCATTTTTTTGCAGCACTGGCTCTGTCACTGAGGATTGAACCCAGGACTTCATGCAGGCTAGGCAAGCATTCTACCACAGAGCTACATCCCCAACCACCATTTTTTTTTTTTTAACTGGTGGTGCTAAGGAGCAAACCCAGGACCTTCTGTATGTTCTACCATGGAGCTATACCATACYACTAACCCAAGCTGAAACTATGAGAAAAAATTGTCAACTTATTATCTAAACATATTGTCATTATAGATTACAGGGATTCAGTGACAGAATGATCCAGTTTCCATTGTGAGGAACTCAGCTACCTCTCTTAAGCTGGCAGGAAGTACTAAGGAGGGCATCTTCTCTCCTTGTGCTCATCTCCAGGGGTGAAACACACCTCTGCAAGAGGCTGCTTGCCTGTTGGTATTGCTGCTGAGGTTTCTAACCTGTAGCCTTAAATCCTTTTGCTCCAGACTATGCAAAGACTCATGCCACTGCTGCTCCTTCCTGTGGGACAAAGGCTTAGACTCATAGAGAAGAAAGTTTCTGGGCTTCTATACTACACCCCCTATTAAAATGGCATTTCAGAAAACTACCTTCAAAAATATTTTGGGACAGGATATGGTGGTATCTGCCTGTGATCCCAGTAGCTTATGAAGCTGAGGCAGGAGGAAGATTGGAAGATCAAAACTTTGAGCCCAGGGACTGGGGTTATGACTCAGCAGTAGAGCACTTACTAGCGCATGTAAGGCCCTGAGTTCGATACTCAGCACCACATAAAAATAAATAAATAAAGGTATTGTGTCCAACTACAACTAAAAAAAAGTTTGAGGCCAGTCTGGGCAACTTAGTGAGATCTTGTCTTAAAAGAAAAAAAGGGTTGARGATTAGGTCAATGGCAGAGTAGCCCTGGGTTCAGTCCATAGTACCACAAAAAAAAAWTTTTTTTTCCTCTAAAGTTTCTTCAGCTGATAATTAAAGATAAGCAGGAAAGAAAGGGCCTGCTAAAGGGAACCCATTCTAAATAGTGACCTGCAAGGGCCCATTCCACTCATGATCTCCAGTGAAACAGGCCTGAAAATGATGCCCATGGGGAACAGCAGAAAAGGGGGAGGGTGCTTCCTGGGCTATTAGCTATTTCTTCCTTTTAGCATTCCAGGCCTTTCTTTAAAATCCTGTTGCCACAACAGACACATCTCAACTAGCATGACTGCATTTATTCTTATTAAACATACAAGGGTGTATAAGTACAAGCCAAGAGGTCTGTAGAGCACTGTGTAAATACCAGATGGAACCATTCCTGTCTGTGAGGGAAGCCTAGATGCACCCCTCTCCATAGGGGACTGTCACCTGCATAATAACATCCAGCACTCTGAATTAAGGCTATTTGGCTCTGAGCAACTTGGAGCCTTTACTGGTGGTATTTTGGTCTGTGGCCCTTGACCCCAAACTCACCATTTCTGTCCCACCTTACTACAAGTTGTCTCCTGCTCCATATTCCTGCAGCTTTCTCCACACGTAATTCCTACACAGAGTTGYCCAGCTGCGGAACATCCCTTCCAGGGAGAATTGTAGCCAAGTGCCCCAGTGTTGATTACAGCAACAATTTACCCAGAGGGTGTGATTTGGGGGTGCTGCCACCTCCSAGCAGCTGCCAAATGCCCAGGTAAATCGGTCCTAACCAAGCCTCCCACAGAAATATGGATCCATACCTGGCTTCCACAGCTACCTTCTGCCCTCACTAAGTCCCCACCACTATCACAAAGTCTTTCTCTATACCGTCCACATCTGCTCTTCCCCTCCATAGACACCTGAAGGCCTAGAAACTAACTGGTGGGGTAAGAGGTTCAGAATGGAGATGCTAATGTTCCTTGCTCTGAATGTTGGGCGCCTTGGTAAAGTTGCAGAGTCTCATTCCAGAACAGAAAAACCATCTGCCTCCTCTGTCCCCAGACCCCAAGGTGATACACCTCTGGTCTCCGATCTATCTCCCTTCTAGAATGCTGCTAGTTAGCAGAGTAAATTAATCACAGCCTCTGAATACTGTAAGCTCCTGTCAACCTTCCAGTTTGAGAAAAACAATCAAGCTCTATTAGGATGACCTTGAGGATAGTTGTCCAACAAATGATACTTAAGGTATATTTTATATCTAACTTCTCAGTCTCCCAGTCACCTCTTGTGGTAGGGATACCATACCATGTCCTGTAGTGATCACAGGACATTATGTAAAGCAAGAACTTGGATACTTTTGCATGGGACCCATATCCTAATCCTATGCCCCTTGAGCTGAGAACCCTGTCCACTCCCACCTCACCATGGTCCTGGGTGAGGTGGAAAAAAAAAAAATGGATGAGGAGCAGTGAAAAACTAAATTCCAATAAGAGGCTAGGTATAACAAGAAATTATCCAGTGGGGGCAACGGGGAATTATGCCTGYTTCTGCTATGTTCAGGCCGGGGCCAAGAGAGGCTAGGTTCACACTGTGGTTTGCCTTAAAGCCCAATCCTTTATTTTTGGCAGAGCTTGGGGTTGAATCCAGGGATTCACACATGCTATGTAAATGCTCCTACACCCCCAGTCCATAAAGTCGAATCCTGAGCATCCACTGTGAGGCTGGGGCAGAGGAATCTGGCTCCACAGTGGACTGTACTACAGGGGAGGCTCTGTGTAATGGTGGGCTGATTTCAGGCAGAGACCTGGTTTCTAGCTTTGGTCTCTCCTCCCAATTCTGAGAGCTGCAGTCTAGGCCAAAGACCACAAAACAGCACCAGCAGAACACTCACTCTACCACTTCCCACAACTTTAAAAAGCAACAAATAGGAAGGCACTCTGCCTTTGCAGCTCCCTCTGCTGGTAATCATGAAAACTTCAGGCTTCTAGAGCCAGTGCCAGTACTTCCAAGCCAATCTTCCAGCTCAAAGACTGGGTGGAGAAGCTAGCTCAGACCAAGGAAATATAAATGAATGAATATGTACATGATGGACCAGTTTTTCTCTAGGGAAGGGSTGAATGAGTTACTAAACTTACACAGACACTGAACTGGTACAGTGTCCCCCAGGTTCAGGAATTCTGAAAGCCATGATCCTGATGTGTCATTAAGCAACCTGTTATATTTACTGCCACAGCCGGACAGATGAAGAGGACAAAAGGGATTTACTTTGCTGTCTTGGTAAGACAAGAGAATAGAGGAGAGGATTATAAGCCAGGATATGGAACAGAAATAACTGCTGCCCAAAAGGCAGCCTCACATTCCCATATCAGTGCTTCCTTAATCCATCTTAGAGTTGGGAAGAGGAGGAAAACACGGAATTCTTTGTACTGGTCTCACGGAATTCTTTGTACTGGTTAAAAATTTGAAATTCCTGGCTACAGGCTGTAAAGTGGTGTCTCCTGCCTCCACACATCTACAGCACAGCCTGAACTCAAAAGCTCTTTTCCTCTTCCATACAGCACCATGACAAATACCAATAAAGATCTCTGCAATTGGTTTTCTTAGCCACCTGTTAGTCAAAAATCCTGTTTCTGCCCTTATTAAAAGTAGTTTCTCTAAACTGCTCCAACAACAGAGGAAAACTGCAGAATTCTATCCATCCCCTCATCACCCATATGGGAGGTGGGGCTCTGGCCTGAGAAGCACCAGGTGAGGGCTCTCCTGCAGGTTATGGACCTTCCCAGAGAGTCAGTGCCTCCACTGATTGTGAACTGACAGCAGTTCTCACCGCACTCTGAGCTATGAAGGGCCAACAGGGTTCTGTAGGCCTCGTGGTGAGCAGGGTCCACCTTGGAGAATTATGGCTACTGGAGGGTACAGGAAGAATCCCCAAGACAGCACCAGCAGCAAGAGCATGTGGAGGAGGCCATAGGCTTAGGGGGAATGAGGTCCAAGTCCTCATCATCTGGAATCTCATCCAGGTGATACCCATCCTGTAGCAGCTGCCGGCTCACATCCTGGTTTACCTGCTAAGAGAAGAGAGGAGGGGATTATAAGCCAGCTGCCCAAAAGGCAGCCTCACATACCCATATCAGTGCTTCCTGTCCATGCTCCACCCCCAGGCCAACCCCACACAGCCCTCCTGACTTAGGAGGAAGTATCACCTTTTCTTGTTGTGCCTTCTCAGCAATGAGGGGCACCTAGGAGCCTTAGCTAGTAATGTCCAGTCTTCATTGACCCTCAGGAGCTGCTCTTACTAAAGAATCCTTAGGCACCTGGTACTAACACTAAATTCTAGATTATGTTTGAAGTCATTGTTCTTATCTTTCCCACTGAAAACCCAGATGTCCCTGTCAAGGCTAAAGAATATAGGACAATGATAACAGAACAACAGGCTTAGAGTCCTGGGTTACTGTGGAAGCAGGCAGGGAGCGGCTTTGTTTGTACTGCCTATTAGACCTGTTATCCTTCCCTGCCAGCCAAGCTGGGTCGCTGCAAAGTAGAACCAGCCAGCCTGGTTTCACAAGTTCCACTGAGCAGACAGGAAATAAATAAGGCTGGAAAAAGTATAAGATTTCCTCTAGTTCTTGGCTATTTTCTTAGTTTTAACACTCTTAAGATACTCAAGGAGGATACAACATGCAAACTGCTTTTCTCTTTCCCAGAAACATAAAAGGTTAACCAAAGATTCCAGGAAAATAAGGAAGAAATATTGGTGGTCTGCAGTTATAGACCCAGAATTTTACTTCCTTTAAAGGGAGTTAGCTACATGTTGGACCTTTTTCTTTCTTTCTTGCAGGGTCTTAGCTGGGCAAGGTGGCATAAACTTTTAATACCAGTAACTCAGGTGGCTGAAGCAGAAAATTGTAAGTTCAAGGTCAGTCTGAGCAACTTATTGAAACCCTGTCTCAAAAAATAAAAAGAACTGGGGATGTAGCTCAGTGGTAAAGCATCCCTGGGTTCAATCTCAAGTACTGCAAAGAAAAAAAAAAAGGTCTGTGTTCCCCAGGTTAACCTTGGACTCCTGCCCTCAAGCAATCCTGCCTCTGCTTCCTGAGTAGCTGCAACTATAGGTGCATGACACTGCACCCAGCCAAGAATTTTATGTTCTTGGATTTCTATCTAGGACAGAAATATGTCCACAAAGCCAGCCAGGAGTATCTCAGTCTGGAACAACTRAAGGAACTGAAGTTTTTTTGGCCTGGAAGAAAAAAAACTGGTGGAAGATGAGCAGGGGAATGTTGAAGGCTGACCTCAGATAGGACAGCCAAAAGGGAGATTAGAGTTGCTGCTGGAAGGCAGGTATTGGACCAATAAATGGGTCCAGGTTACATGAAATATTTCAGATTAAGAAAGAAGACTTCTTGTCAGGCACAATGGTGCATGCCTATGATCAGTTACTCAGGAGGCTCAGTTCAAGGCCAACTTTAGCAACTTAGTGAGACCGTCTCAAAAAAGTAAAATGGATTGGGGATATAGCTCAGTAGTAGAGCACCCCTGGGTTTAAACCCCAGTACTGGTGGTGGGGGTAGTGCAGGGAGACTTCACTAAATATTACTGAAGAAGGGGTTATGTATGTGTTGGGGGTGGGTAGGAAGCAATGCTTCTTGAAGGTACTAAGTACGCAATTACAAGAAGCATACAAGCAATCAGAGGCTAGTAAACTCTTAAATAGGATCTATCAAAAGGATTCCTTTAAGTTGTGGTCTAGACTAGAAAATTTTTGAGGTAATTTCCAACCCTGAGGATATACCGTCTCCTGGATTTTCAACAGATCTCCTAAGACGCCTATACCTCTGCTGGGGGAAGAGGGCAGAGTGGAAGATCGGAGAACAGACCGGAAGTCTGGTACAGTGCTGTGCACACAGCAGGCACCAAACAAGCATTTGGTAGTGGTGGTGATGCTGCCTGTAGCCTGGCCCTGCACAGAAAGGCGCTCTGGACTTGCCTCTGCAGAGGAATACCCGGAAGAGTATCTGGATTCCAGCTCCCCATCACTAGGAGAAGAGGGAGACAGTCAGTTCAGGAGAGGCTGTGGAGCACAGCTGCACATGGCGAGGTGGAGAACATGCAAAGGGAGGGGCGGGTCTGAGGGATTTGTGAAGCAAAGACCACACCATAGAACTCAAGCCCAGAATTTGCAGTGAGTGCAAATGGCTTCCTCAATTGGCTCCAGCAGGAATAAGGTCAATCTCACTAACAGTGCAGATATAATACATTAGGTCAGGATGATTCCCTGGAAACACTGGAGTTCCAAACCTAGAGCAGGATGATTACCTGTGAATCTTCTAACCAAGCCATCCTGGGAAAGGATAGCACTCAGAAAAGAGCATGGAATGTGCATGGAGGGCCTCAGAGGAGACAGGAAACAAGCAAAGGCACCAAGCTATCTGCARTGCTATCCAGGTCATTCCCCAAGGGATAACACTCACCTGTCAGAATCAAGGGACACCAGGTTTTCATCTGGACTCTGGCTAAGAGCAGTATAGCCCTTGTTAAACTTCACTGACCTAAGGGAAGTGGGGAGGAGAAATCAAGCATAGATGAAAATAGGCATTTCATAGGGAAAGGCTTGATTACGAAAAAACTGACTGCACTACTCCAGACTGCTTTCTAACTGGTCACATGGTCACCACTGCCTATAGCTATTTGGCTTATAGCTCCTCAGAAAATGTACTGCCCCATTCCACTCCCCAACCCATGTTCCTGGGGAAAGTATACCTTGCCTTTTATGAACCAGCAAAAGCATCCCCCTAGCTACCTTATTTAACCAGAAGTTCTTGGGCAAATTCCTTCACTTCTGCAAGTTTCAGCTCACAGCACTAAAAGGCACTGAAATGGGTAGCAGTGGATCATGCCTGTAATACCAGCCCACTCCTGCTGAGGCAGGARCATCGCAAGTTCAAGGCCAGCCTCAGTGAAAAGTGAGACCCTAAGCAACTCAGGGAGACCCTGTCTCTAAATAAAATACAAAATAGGGCTTGGGAGTGGCTCAGTGGTTGAGTGTCCCTGAGTTCAATCCCTGGTACCAAAAAAAAAAAAAAAAAAAAGGCTGGGTATGTGGCTCAAGGAAAAAGTACCCCTAGGTATAGTGAACCTGACAGGCTGCCGTCAGGGAATCACTGGGTCAGCCCTAAACGTGAGCACCCCGTCTCCCAGGCTGAGGAATAACGACTTTGGAAATTGTCGGCGGAGAGGAGGTGGAGCCCGCTGAGACCTTTTCCCTGAAGAGTCGGGGCGGTTCGGCAAGGAACCCAGCATGCCTTTTCTCCGCAGAACAGCCTTGGCCAGGTCCCGGTGCTTCTCTGGAAGTCAAAGGGCCCTAGTCAGCCGAGTTTCCCCCAGTCTGCCCCTTGTCCCCTGAACGCTTGGAGACCGCTCTCCGAACGGATTTTTGGGGACGGAAGCGGAGTGCATCGAACCCTTCACTGGGTGCGAGACCACTGGGCCCCAGGACCCGCCCCAGTTACACGGCAGCATAAAACCTCGGACCACACTTACGCAGCTTGGCCTGAATGGACGGCGCGCGCGTCACCATGTACGGTCCACGCTTCTCCACTGTAGCAGGGGTTCGCTCCCCCAGCCGGAGGGCTCCGCTGGCGCTCCTCCCGGAGGGCGGTCCCACAGCTCCTGCCGCGTGCCCTGAGGCCCCGCCAGGCCGGGCTCCGGGGGTGGCAGCCCTCATCGCCGGCCCGCCGGGCTCTGCGGTCGCCATGGCCTGGCTCCGCCCAGCTGGGTGTCKCAGCCCCGCCCCGCCCCACCGCTACCGAGCAGTCCGTAGGCCCCGGCGGGCGCTTCTTTAGCAAGATGGCGGCGCGCAGGCGCGAGCCGCTCCCCCCGAACTTTCCGGCCTAGTTGCTGGGGGTTGGCACAATGTCCTGCTCTGCCCGGAGATGGGCAGTTTCGGTCTTGCTCTTCTGGTAYACAGCTACAGAACTTAAGTCCTTCTGGGCCTGGCGAGGTCGAGGCTGTCAGTTGTTTCTAGTCGAAATCGAACACTTGACATTTGCCCAGAGCCTTGGGGTGTGCACCGGCTGGGCGTTAAGGGTTTATGAACTTCCACCSACCCACTCTCTAAGCTCTAGCAGCATCTTCTTTGCGGTCTTCTCGCCACAACCCGAGCTCCCTGAGGACGGACTGGGGAGAGCTTGGGCTGGAGAGAAAAGATCCATAGACAGTAGGGAGGTAATCGCAGAAAAGAGAATAGGCCTCAGAGGTGGCACAAACTGGCTGCAATGCCCGGGTTGCTTAATCAGAGGCCAACCCCACCTTCTTATGCCACGCCACGTGGTGCCTGACACCTTGGACTGGCTGACCCTTTCTAGGCCTCAGTTTCCGCGTTTTACAATGAAACTTTGGAGTTGAAGGKGTCGTTCAATGGTAGAGTGCTTACCTTATATGGGCAAGGCCCTAGATTTGATTCCCAGCACCAAAAAATACAAAGTCGAACCATGTCACTATCTGTTCTACAGTGACAAAAACAAAATAGGCACAAGAAAGGAGAGTGAAAGTGTACTCTTTGAGTCTCTGTGTGGCAGGATAGAGAGCAGTGTCAAGGCTCTTGACTTCTCCAACCCCCAAGGGATGTGCTCCAGKCTGGCTGGAAGTAAATTCCAGATCCTTATAGAACTGCCAAATCTCATGAGACTGTTCCATGGCTAATATATTGGCCTCCACAGGGTAGTTCATGGTATGCAGACTCTGAGTCCCAAGAACTATCTTCAGTAGGATAAGAAGAAAGAATTTCGGGCTGGAGTTTTTGAAAAATCAAACAAATGAATCATATTTTGGTGTATCCTATCTCCTGCATAATCTGTTGGATAATTTTTCATGTCCAGAAACATCAATTTCAYATGGCTCAATTTAATGTTTAATCCACATTAACTCCTAATGAAGCCTGCAGTTACTATTATACAAATAAGGCTTAAATTTGGTAAAACTCAGTACTTGGTGATAATTTGAACCCAGGTCCCTGTTAATCCCCTGCAAAAATATTTTTCTTACGGCTTTGCTGCCTGTGCCAGCTACTCTTTTACTGTGTGCGTGGGGAAGGGAGGATAGGGATTGAAACCTAGAGTGCTCTACCACTAAGCTACATTCCCAGCACTTCTTTTTTAAATAAGTAAATAGGGCTGGGGATGTGGCTCAAGCGGTAGCCCGCTCACCTGGCATGCGTGCGGCCCGGGTTCGAGCCTCAGCACCACATACCAACAAAGATGTTGTGTCCGCCAAGAACTAAAAAAAAATAAATATTAAAAATTCTCTCTCTCTCTCCTCTCTCACTCTCTCTTTAAAAAAAATAAGTAAATAAATGTATGTGTATGTATACGTGTGTGTGAATGTATGTGTATGTGTATACACACACACTTGTAGGTGGATACCTTTATTTTTATGTGGTGCGGAGGATTGAATTTAGTGCCTCACACGTGCTAGCAAGCACTTTACCACTGAGCCACAACCCCAGCCCCCCAGCACTTATTTTTTATTTTGAAACAGTTCTCACTAAATTGCCAAGGCTGTCCTCAAATTTGCTATCCTGCCTCAGTCTCCCAAGAAGGTGGGATTACAGATATGCACCACCAGGAACGATTCCAGATACTTTTGAGGCTAAGGTGGGGGCTCACTTGAGGCCAGGAGTTCAACCCAGCCTAGGCAACATAGCAAGACACCAAGTCAAGAACAAAAAAAAAGGGGCTGGGATTGTCGTTCAGTGGTAGAGCACTCACCTAGCATGTGTGAGGACCTGGGTTTGATCCTCAGCACCACATAAAGATAAATAAAGGTATTATGTCCATCTACAACTAAAAAATATTTTAAAAAAGAATAAAACAAGCTAGCCTCAGCAAYTTAGTGAGGCCCTGTCTCAAAAAATGAAAAGGGCTGGGGATGTAGCTCTGTGGTAAAGCACTTCTGGGTTCAATTTCCAGTACTCAAAAAACAAAGCAAAAATCATCAAAAACCAGTACCCAACATCACAAAGGAAAATAAAGAAAAAAAATGGGGCTGAGGGGCTGGGGTTGTGGCTCAGTGGAAAAGCACTTGCCTAGCATGTGTGAGGCACTGGGTTCAATTCTCAGCACTGTATATAAATAAGGATCTATTGACAACTAAAAAATATTTTTAAAAAAGAAAGGAAGAACTTGGAGAAGAAGTAAATACAATAAAGCCTTTTTTAAAAAATGGGGCTGAGGGTATAGCTAGCTCAGTGGTAGAGCACTTGCCTAACGTGAGAGGACCATTAGCACATATACACAAAAAAAGGAATGTGTGCTATTATTAYTTTACAGTGTTTTAATTTAGTCTCATTTGCCTTCATTTTGTATCCTTTGTTTTTAGCACAAGGTCATTGCAATAAATATGTTGAGTGAATGTCCTATTTCCCCTCTAACTTTTAGTTAACTTAATCATAGAATTTTGGAACTGGGGACACAGTATACACATGTAAAAATCCCAGTGACTTGGGAGGGTGAGGCAGAAGGATCACAAGTTCAAAGCTAGCCTCAGCAACCTAGCAAGATCCTGTCTCAACAAAACAAAACAAAACAGAAGAAAAAAAGGGGGAGGGGGGCACTAGGGATGTGGTTCAGTGGTTAAGCCCTGGCTGGATTCAATATCCAGTACCAAAAAACAAAATACACTGGGAACGTCGTTCAGTAGTAGAGCACCCCTGAATTTAATTCCCAGTACTGCAAAAAGAACTTTGGGGGTTGGAAAGGATCTTAAATATGTCTATAAATATATATGGGGGCTGAGGATATAGCTCAGTTGGTAGAATGCTTGCCTCACATGCACAAGGCTGTGGGTTCAATCCCCAGCAACACAAAATAACAATATCTCATACATTCTAAACTAATTAATGAAGAAACTGTTATCTTGTGATAGTTGTGACCAATTATTCTGATTTGGATATGCGCAATTTCCTTTCCACTTAAGAATGTCCAAAAGAAAAAAAAAATCACTAGGAACTTAAGAAAAATAAATTAGCCTCGTCCCCCCCCCCCAAAAAAAATTTTTTTTTTGGCTGACCTGGACATAGGGGTGCATGCCTATAATTCCAGTGGCTTGGGAGGCTGAGGCAGGATCCCAAGTGTGAGGCCAGCCTCAGCAACTTGGTGAGGCCCTAAGCAACTTAGTGAGAACTTCTCAAAATAAAAAAATAAAAATGGCTGATAATGTAGCTCAGTGGTATAAGTCCCTTGAGTTCAATCCTCAGTACCGCAAAACAAAAAAACTAGTTTATAAGAGGATGAGGCCCTAGGGTAAGAACTGCCAGAACATACAAGGCAYAAAGCCCTTTCTTACCTTGCTACTATAAACCCTAACCCATAGTGACTGTGCTGCACCTGGGAATCCTCTACTCTTATATTCAGCAAAGTTTTATTCACCTCTGATTCTGTGGCAGACTTAATGATGACAGATAACATACTATCCCATCTCCAGTTCCCAGTCTCATTTCTTTGTTATTGGGAATTGGGGGAAGTTCCTTGTGGAGATATTCTTGGATGTTAGGAGCAAAGACATCCTAGTTTTAGGGCCCTCTTTCTCCTTTGGGTGGTCATATCCTTTATCCTCAGCTCTAAATCATGAGAATCCTACCTMTTACCTAACCTTTCTTGGTCTTGAAACAGATGAATCTCCACCATCAGCTTAACTGTTTCTGCTCTTCACTGTAGCTGAATTCCTTCATATAGGCATGTTATATGGGGCTAGATATCAAAAGAGGATGGTAGACAGTGATTTTCTTGACACATGGAATTCAAGGAATGGCTGAATGCCCAATGCTATGAAGATCAGGGATACAGGAAGACTTTTTTTTTTTTTTTTTTTAATTGGTTGTTCACAACATACAGGAAGACTTTAAGAATAACTGGACCCACACATGAGGGCTACCAGGACATTAACTATATTGTTTTGTTGTTGTTTTTTGGTACCAAGAATTGAACCAAGGGCACTCAACAACTGAGTCACATCCCTAGCCCCTTTATTTTCATTTTTTGAGACAGAGTCTCACTAAATTGCTTTGGGCCTCACTAAGTTGCTGGTGCTGGCTTCAAACTTGTGATTCTCCTGCCAGTCTCTGGAATCACTGGGATTATAGGTTATGTACCACCATGTCTAGCTTTTTTTTTTTTTTTTTTTGGTGCTGGGGATGGAATTCAAGTCTTCTACCATTAAGCTACATCCCCAGTCAGACAGTGATTTCTTTTTTTTTTTTAATCCCATTATTTTGCTGAGGAGGTGCTCTTCCAGTCTCAGAAACTTCTCACCAGGTGTGACTATCTAGTTCAGGGAAACTTCAACTTCTCCCAGCACTGGTGGTACAGATAACTAACAAATGGAGTATGTAAATATAGGAGTCTTTCTAGGGTCCCAGGGCCGTGCCCTACTTCTCCCCCAAATTAACTCAGATTACCTCACTCCCAGTAAAAAGATTATTTCCCAGTCTTCACAACAGCCTCATATGACACTGGTATATCCATTTCAGATGAGGAAACTGAGGTCACAGAGGTTAACTGACTTGTCTAAGGCCACAAAATTTTACAGGTGAAGAGTTCTTTTGTTTTTTAAGAGAGTCTTGTTATGTTGCCCAGAATGATCTCAAACTCCTGTATTCAAGCAATCCTCCTACCTCAACCTCCCATGTAGCTAGGTTTATAGGTATATGATACTCTACTAAGTTTAGAGTTGAATCCTTGTCACCAGTCAATCTCCCCTTGGTACTAAGGATTTAACCCAGTGTCACTTTACCACTGAACTACATCTCTAGCCTCTTTTTCATTATTTACTTTGAGACACGGTCTCACTAAATTTCCAAGGCTGGCCTCAAATTTGTAATCCTCCTGTCTCAGCCTCCCAAGTAGATGGGATTAAAGGTCAAGTGTCTTTAATGGTATTTTCCATGTTTTCATAAAGAAATGTGCAGAATCTACTTCCAGGATATTTTCAGAATTAATATACTAGGAAAAAAGCTAGTTA